AATGACAAAGGGATGATTCTTTCTCCAGCCCTGTGAGGTGGCCTTGTGGCCTCGTTAGCTCAGGGCAGAGGAGCTGAGCTAGGCCCCTGAGGGAGGGTAGAGCTTGGAGGAGCCGGCAGGAGCTTGCCCAAGGGAAGCACAGTCTGTTGTGGAGGGTGTTGGGAGTGGGCTGGGTGGGTCCCCTGGAGGCTCCAAGCCAGCCTGCCTCACATGGCTCCCAAAGATGGGGCAGCCCAGGGAGGGGAGGGCTGCTGGGCCCAGGCTGCAGACTTCCCTCCTCCTCCTCTGTAGTCCTGGCTGCCCCCACGCTCCCCTCTAGGCTCAGGCCAAGACCCGACACCTGCTCTCACACGCAGGCTTGCCAGGGCTGGCCCTGCTCCCTGCAGACATGGCCATGCCTGCCGCCACGCAGGCATGCACCCTCGCGCACTCACCCGGGGGCTCCAGCCCAGCACACACCACCCTCTTGCCCTCTTTTATGATCACTCTTGCTCACGCAGCCACGCTCTCGTCCACCACCGCCGCCTGCCTAGAGACCCAGACTCTGGCCCTGGCCCACCACCTCTCTGGGCCAGCTCCCCACTGGGCTCCATGAATAATTCACTCCTTTCTCTCTGGGCATCAAATATTTATCCCCTGAGATTCCCAGCCCTCTGTTCTCTTGGGGAAGGCCCCGCCTTGGCCCCGCCTTCTCTTTCGCCCCACCCTCTGCGTGTCTGGGGCCATTTTTCAACAGGGCTCACGCTAAGCCCGTCTAGAGGCTCAGGGATGTGTATCTCCTGGAGTCAGAGGAGAGATCTCAGGTCCTCGGGTCCCTCTTGTGTGCTTGTGGGGAGGCTGAACCAGGTTGGGAGCTCCCCACACCAGCAGCCAGGGCTGACTGCCTTCTGGAGCTGGAGATGGCTCATCACCCGTCTCCACGTGTCCTCACTGCAGGGGTGACCCAGACAAGTGTGACATCTGGGGCAACACGCCCCTGCACCTGGCAGCTTCCAATGGCCACCTGCACTGCCTCTCCTTCCTGGTGTCCTTCGGGGCCAACATCTGGTGCCTGGACAACGACTACCACACACCACTGGACATGGCCGCCATGAAGGGCCACATGGAGAGCGTGCGCTACTTGGACTCCATCGCGGCCAAGCAGAGCAGCCTCAACCCCAAGCTGGTGGGCAAGCTGAAGGACAAAGCCTTCCGCGAGGCGGAGCGACGCATCCGTGAGTGCGCAAAGATGCAGCGCAAGCACCACGAGCGCATGGAGCGGCGCTACCGGCGCGAGCTGGCCGAGCGCTCCGACACACTCAGCTTCTCCAGCCTCACCACATCCAGCACGCTGAGCCGCCGGCTGCAGCACCTGACACTGGGCAGCCAACTGCCCTACTCGCAGGCTACGCTGCACGGCACCAACAGGCTCAAGACCAAGATCCAGCGGAAACTGGAGCGGCGCAAGCAGGGTGGCGAGGGCACCTTCAAGATCTCCGAGGACGGCCGCAAGAGCGTGCGCTCGCTCTCAGGCCTGCAGCTGGGCAGCGACGTGATGTTCGTGCGCCAGGGCAACTATGCCAACCCCAAGGAGTGGGGCCGCTCCCCGCTCCGGGACATGTTCCTTTCCGACGAGGACAGCGTCTCCCGTGCCACACTGGCGGTTGAGCCTGCCCACTCGGAGGTCAGCACCGACTCAGGCCACGACTCCCTGTTTACCCGCCCTGGCCTGGGCACCATGGTGTTCCGCAGGAACTACCTGAGCAGCGGGCTGCATGGGCTGGGCCGCGAGGACGCGATGCTCGATGGCGCGGGCACACCGCGGGGTCGGCTGCAGAGTTCCCCCAGCCTGGACGATGACAGCCTGGGCAGTGCCAACAGCCTGCAGGACCGCAGCTGTGGGGAGGAGCTGCCCTGGGACGAGATGGACTTGGGCCTGGATGAGAACCTGGAGCCCGAGACAAGCCCCCTGGAGACTTTCCTGGCCTCCCTGCACTTGGAGGACTTCACCTCCCTCCTACGGCANAGGGGCGCAGCGCTGGGGTCTTCGGGATTTATTTCCAAGCCACTCGGGAGGCTGCGGGGTCCTGGGCAGCCTCTACACGTATGCCTCAGACCGGGCGTCCAGGCAGCCCCAACCCCAGACCCGTTTCCCCGGCCATCTGGGTGTTTCTCTTCTTCCTGGTCTCCGCAACCCCTTTCAGCTGTGCGCGCCCATCCGCGGAAAGGAGGTGGGGGCAGGAAGGGGCCCCGCTCGGGTCGCCAGGGGTTGGCCTCCCCGCAGTCATCCCGCTCTGCGCCCCAATCCCTGCAGCCCGCTTTGGGGGCGGAGTAGGCGTGAGTGTGATAGTGGGCTCTCTCGGAATATTCCTCCAGAGGTCGGAGGGCGCTCCCAGCCCTAAGAGCGCCGCGGGAAAGCCTTACCTGAGGCCGGGGCAGGCCGCGGTGCCGGCCGACCACCAGCTGCGGGCGCAGCACCGGTCGTCTGTCCAGGGGAGGCCATAGTGCCCGGACCGATGCCCCCGACGCCCTCTCCCCGCGGGACTACGCAGCCGCCGCTCGGGCTCTGCGGCCCATCGATTTTTTTTCTGTTGACTCTGGGGATCTCATTAATTCTTCCTTAATTACCCCGCCAGGGGCTCCAGCTGGGACGGAGCAGCCAATAGCGAGGCGGCTAGATGGGCGGGCGGGACCGGAGGCGGTGCAGGCGCGGAGCTAAGGGTCAGGGGCCTCCAGGGTGAGGTGGGGTGCAAGGTCCTTAGGCCGAAGTAAAGGCCTTGCGGGATTCAGGCCACGCTTTCCTCTGGCGGCCAAGCAGGGAATGGAACCCTCAGGTCTTGGGTTGCCTTTTCTTGTACCCCACTCTGCACCAGGCCGGGCTCCGGCCACCCGGCCTGTTCCAGCACCCTTTCTCTCCCTAAATCAAACAGTGGACTTGGGGCAGAAGAGACCCCGTTCAGATAGGACAGGAGGTGGTTAGGAGGCGAAGTCGCCCCCTCTGGTCCTCCTCAGCTCCGCCTGCGGCTTCTGAGACCCGCCCACCTCCTGAGAGAGAGGGCAGGGTCCAGGCACATTTTCCTCTGAAGTCCCCAGTGCTCCAGGGCTGCTGCTGCCACCTCTCCTCCCTCCCAGCCGCCCACGCCCAGGTCCCGCCTGTCCCCCTTCACCTGACTCTGTTGGCCACCAATCCTTCCTCTTCCAGCTGTTGGGCCTCCGTTTCCACCCCTCCCTGTTCAGTCTGGCATTCTGTCTCTCTCTCTCCGCTGAGTCCATCTTTATGCCTTTTGTAGAGGAGTCTCAGGGGCCCCCAGGGAGTG